ACATATAAAGTCGTTTGTTTAGAATCAAAAAGTGTTCGATTTGAATGGTACACAGGTCAGGTGGTTTAATGGTCTTGCGAGTAGTAGTCTTGAGAGTAGGTGTAGTTGTCTTAATACCCGTTGAAAGATGATAAGTTTTATTCTCTGGTGAAGGGGTGGCAGCAGCAGCAGCATCAATAGGATATAGTGCTCGGATTCCGGCTATATCATCCTCATGTAGCGTGTTCATATTTGAATTGTAATAAGGAAACATGAGTGCATTTTCATCGCTCGAATGGTGTAATCCGAGAGTATGACCTATTTCGTGTAAGACAACTTGGAAATAACTAGAATAACCGGGGGGAGGTGCATTTGCATCTGCTACATGCCAGCGTTCTTCCCAATCTATATGCATTTCAACAACATTCTGATCTCTGGAGGGAAAGTATGCATGGGCTAATATATTGCCCAATCCATCAAACTCGAATGCACATTGCGGATATGGTGGTGAAGCGAATTTATGCTTTCGGGTATGAAATGATATTAATATGTCTGGATTCCTTGAGCTATATCTGAATGTAAAATTTGTGTGGTTCGCCCAAACTTGAAATGCTTTATCCGTCATCTGTAAAATGTGCAGGTCATGCATATTGGAAATATAGTAAATCAAAGTCTGTTTTGTCCATTTATACCGATGAGTCATATACGCTGCTGGATCATCAATATTTCCGCATCTAGGTCGAGACATGAGTTGTAATGTTTCGGCATTTAATCTGCCATCACTAGGTAGTTTATAGAGTTCTTGAAATTTCTTTAAAGCGTTGACGGTGATATTTGTACGATTATGTTGAGTTGATTCACCTTCACCAGGCTCCTTTATATATCCATATTTGGTGAGATGACTATATGCCATATCGATTTCACGCTCACTGATTGTATCGCTGCCGTCATCGACATTATCCGCAGCAGCAGCATTAGCACTAATACAGAAAAACCAGCTCAGTACGACAACTACAGCTTGCATGATTGTAAAATCTATACTGATTCAAAATTTTCTTTTGGAGGACTAATAAGGATGTGGTAGTGGGGGGGATATATATTGAAATGAATTAAAAATTAGGTTATAAATACTTAATCTTCTCTCAACGACATAATGGTGCAGACTGTAATCGATGTACAAGGCTTTAAAACATCAAGAAACGTATATACTATAACCATCACGGAATTAAATGGGAGCATGGTCATACGCCATCCTACATGTTTCCAATTATACTTCGCCAGTTAATATCATCATCAGACCAAGTATACGTTAAAGGAAAAGAAAAAGCCGAGATTTTCATTATAACTTTATGCAGCATCAATTTAGCGACGACCGCTTAAAATTGTTGTACATGGATACCGATAGTTTAGTGTGTGAGATGTTATGTGATGATGCATACGATTTGATACGCGCAAATATTTCTCGATTCGATACGTCTGATTATTCTGAAAATAACATCTATAACATTCCAAGATGTAATGGTGAAGTTTTAGGAATGATGAAGGATGAATTGGGCGGTAGAATCATAACCGATTGGGTGGCTTTGGCTTCTAAAATGTATAGTTTTAAAATTAAGGATTGTGATAAGGATGTAATGAAATTAAAAGGCGTTAGAGATTATATTGTAAAAAAATAGATTAACTTTTGATGATTATTTAGAATGTTTAAGGAGCGGGATTACTAAAAGTGTCGCCCAAAGCAGCATCGTATCAAAGAATCACCATGTATATAGTATGGAGCAAAAGAAAGTTGCCTTAAGTAATAAGGACGATAAGAGGTATTTAACCTCAAATGGTATTGATACGTTGCCTTGGGGACATTATAGTATTCCCGCTGAAATGGATTTAGGATAAGAAAATATATCGAATGGATGTTCATATTTATAGTTGATTATATAATATTATATTTTGTTTATTTATTGTAAAAGAAACATGTATATGAAAATATATAAATAGCAGTTATACAAAATCTGATTTTTTAATCCAAGAGTCATGCGATTTGTCCATCCCAAGCCATCGAACGTAGAGCTGGTCTCCTTTGCGCCTCAAAACTTTCTCAATGAGAAAGATATCCCGATGAGCGGTTTTCTGTAATTCTTCTGCGTAGAATTGACCCATTATCGGTTTGGATAGTAAATCCTCTAATAGATATGTAGCGGGATTGCCAACCTTCACTTTTGTAATTTTAAATAATTCTGTGGAAAAGTTCGGAGTATAGCCTTTTGAAAATACGGACTTATACTTCGAGATCCGAACGTAGTCACCAATTTTAAATTTCGCGGGCCCCATAAATTTTATGTTGTGGAACATTGGTAAATATGTTTTAGAGGTTACATCCTTGGGTTTCATTTTAATCGTGGAATGCCTCGTATTGTTATATTTCGAGGTTATTTCCGGTAGCACATCGATCCACTTATATTTTCCTTGAAGACTAAATGCCTTGTATAAAGCGTTTTTCAGCGTTCTTATCGTCCTCTCAACTACAGCGGCCTTTTTCACACTATACGTAGAGTAATGATTTATCGCATGCGTTTCCGTTAACTTTGCAAACTCCTTATTATAGAATTCCTTTCCTTGATCAGTTTGTAAATTGACTGGCACTCTTCCTTCTTTCAAAATAGATGTCATAGCCTTACACACTTCACCGGCATTCTTTGATTTTAAAGGTCGTGTCCAAAGATACTTCGAATAGCAGTCTATTACCGTCAGCATGTATTTATTTCCCCGGTTCTCTTTAGAGTACTGTATGAATTCGGCTAAATCCGCTTGCCATAAATCATCGCGATGTTTAATAATGGTTCGTTTTCGAGGAAAATTTTTGCGAGCGGGCTTATGTAGCTCTTCGACAACCTCAAGCTTTGACATCTTACACTTAACTCGGAGGCTAATCGAAACCTAGCCTAGTTCTATGGTGTTTGTTTATTTCCTTTTCTAACTCCTCCAAATAATTTTTATGTCCGTCTAAGATTGACATAATTGTATTTAGACGCACTGCGAGAAAACCGCTGGTTACTGCTTCATCATGTTCCACCGGATCTGCTACGTGTCTTAAACGATTACTCTCCATGTTATACCGATTCATTGTGTACTTAGCATGCAGCTCGCTAATACACCTATCCACATATTGTTTGGTGGCAACATCGCTACCCCAATACGGGTCGATAACGTTACGAATCCTCTTATTTTGCATATTATAGTCCCCATCACCGGTTAATTTCAAATTAACTTTTGCACATTCACCTGTTGTCTCCTGATCACTGCGAATCCTATTTCTTGATGATGAATGACGTCCAAACTTGTCAACGCTCATTGTTACACTAAACTATTATGCCTTCTTCTCTGAGCTCCTCCTCAATACTTGAGATTTCATTGTTGTGACCGGTGTGACCGGCTACTCTCGATGCATGCAGCAATCTAAGACGTTCGACTAATTCGTGGGGCGTATTCCAATACACGTACTCTTTAACTGTATTGTTTACCTCTTTCATACCCGTTCCATAGTGCTCCGATAGTAGTGGTTTAAGGATATTGCGATATTTATGCGACTTGGTACCCACAATCTGATGACCTGGATCGTAATTCCTTCGGTAGCCATTAGTGACATCTAAAATTTCCTTATACACTCGTCCATCCTTGGAAGAAAATTCTTGAGGCTTTTTCAGTACAAGCAATTCATACAACCCTGGAGTACCGTTGTAAATTTTATCCTTTATTATTAAATTCGGTCCGTCAAATGTCACTTTAGAGTCTCCAATAGCCCACTGATCGAAATTGGCATCATATCGAAGACCATAAAAGTGATCAATGTCGCCTTTGGTATCTTTAATCATTCGTTCGATATATTGGCGCGGCAAAACATGATACTGATTTAGAAATTGTTGAGCGGCGTCTTCAGTGTCGAGTAATTGTGATAAGTTAATCGTTTCAGTAGTGTCCTCATCTTCACCTTCTTTCCCGTTATCATACGCTATGTTACTAATCTCATCAGTTTCGATAAAATTAAGTCGTTTAGCAGCTGCTGTGATTGGTCCATTTTCAGAGCGCTGTGGTGTTCGGAACTGTTCTTCTTCTTGAATTGGGGTAGATTCATATTCGATTTTATGTTCAACTTTCGGTATCATATTACGTATTTTGGGTTCTTGCTTAGCTATCTTTTTAAGTGGTTCTACTATTGGCTTATATGTTGCTTCAACCAAGCGTTGAGTTTCAAGCTCGCCTCTTTTTAGCACTTCAAGCTTACGCTTGATAGCATTGCGGGTCTTCGTCAATTTCTGCTTTATCGTTTTATCTCTTGCGTTCATCTTTATGGCCTACACAGATTTTCAAACTGGCACCGGTTCAAATAGCTGTTGGACCGGATCGCAAAGCCGATTGATAGCTGTTGGACTAGTTGGCAAAGCAGATGAGCCAGTTGGGAAAGCTGATAGACCAGTTGACAAAGCAGTTGGACCAGTTGGCAAAGCTAATGGACCAGTTGGCAAAGCTGATAGACCAGTTGACAAAGCAGTTGGACCAGTTGGCAAAGCTGATAGACCAGTTGGCAAAGCAGTTGGATCAGTTGGCAAAGCTGATGTACCAGTTGGAAAAGCTGATGGACCTGATGGACAAAGCCGTTGGATAGCTGTTGGGCCGGTTCTATTAAATCAGATTATAATCTAATATAGCAGTCGAACCCTTTTCGATATCTACCGTAGTCAAAGTCTTTCACTATACAGATAAAATTATACTTATCCACCCAACACTTTGAACACATTAATTTAAACTGATCAAAGGTCATATCTGTACCAACGTGCTCGTCATACACATGTTTTAAATTTAAATAGTCTTGTTTGAATAGAACAATAACGTTAACATTATCGCGTATTAATTGTTTCGGTATCTTTGAATATGTTTGACAAAGATAGAATGAGTCCACCCCGGAATGTCGTCCTCTGCAGAAGTAATCTCTAATTACGTCTTGATTTAGACAGGCCACGTCATCAAAGATCATTATCGAATTCTTATTAATCTCTTCGAGAGTGATTACGTCAGCCTTATCGCTAAAAGCATTGTACTCAATACCCTTGATAGGTGTAAGTATTTGCTCCAGGTACTTGTACTTTGGCTGCTCTAGCGACTTTGAGTATACATACACGTTTTCAAACGAAAGGCCGTGCGGTGCTTCCAATAAACTAATCATGACATTTGTCTTTCCGCACCCCGAAGGACCGCAGATCACTGCTCTAATTGATGCTGGAAATAAAGGCCCATGCCTCCCCACTACTTCTGATTTTAGAAAATCGTGATTATCTACGTTTAAATGTTGAGGCTGCTTTATAAACATCATTATTAGTCGCTGGTTCTAGTTATACTAACAGTTCATGGCTAATCACCGAGTAAGAAAGGGGTTGATTAACACTTTAATAAACAAATTACCAGTAGAACTTCATATTCCCGGATATCAGTACTGCGGCCCTGGAACAAAGTTGGAACAGCGTTTAGCTCGCGGTGATTCTGGAATAAATCCGTTGGATGCTGCATGTAAACAACACGATATCGCGTACGGTCAATTCAAAAACTTAGAGCATCGCCATCAAGCTGACAAGGACCTTCAAAACCAAGCTTGGAGTCGCGTAAAATCGAAAGATTCGAGTTTTGGAGAAAAAACTGCCGCTTTAGCCGTAGCCGCCGCGATGAAAGTTAAAAGGAAGCTAGGAATGGGAGTTGCGCAACGCAAGAAGAAAGAAAGAAAAATGAAGCATAAGAGTTGCTCGTTTAGAGGAGGAGTTCTATCGCATGCTCGAAATTCAATAAGGCGGATGAAAGATGCAAGCATAAAGAAACTTGTCGATGTGAGTTTGGCCGCGGAAAAGAAAGCGGTTAAAGTAGCGGGCGGTAAAAAGAAGGTGCGAGTGCCGAGAGTTATTCCTATACCTAAAATTGGCGGCTTTCTTCCTTTCCTTATACCGCTATTTGCGGGCCTTTCGGCTGCCGGTGCACTAGCCGGTGGAGCAAGTGGGATAGCTAAAGCGGTTAACGAAGCATCTGCAGCTAAGAAGCAATTGGAAGAGAGTCAACGTCATAATGCCACAATGGAGGCTGTAGCGTTGGGCAATAAAAGCGGTGGAGCACTCTACCTTAAGCCATATAAGAAGGGTTACGCCTTATATTTGAAACCTTTTCCAAAAAACGACTAAACTTGCCGCGGAAAGCATTAACCAATTTCGATCTGCATAAATACGCTAAAAATGTACCGTTCTTTATAGGAGTATTCATGCGCAACACATTACCTCAAAAGCCCCATTTTAACGAATGCGCTATTGTGAACCTGGATGATAGCCAGGGAAGAGGTACTCATTGGGTTGCTTTCAAGAAACGCGGCAGGAAAGCGGTTTACTATGATAGTTTTGGAGACTTAGGCCCTCCAAATGAAATAGTTAAATACTTAAAAGGTTGTAAGATTGTTTATAATTATGATAGAGAGCAAAACTATAACACATTTATATGTGGACACTTGTGTTCTTTCTGTATAATAAATAATTTACATCTAAAACGCTAGTTTTCATTTCTACCTATCAATCATGTCTCGAACGTTCACGCTAACGGGTGTAGGAAACGTGCTCAGTACTACGTATTTCCCACCAATAGAGCTTGACTC